AGCCACAATGCTCATCCCCTCACATACAGTTTTAAAAAATGGAGTCATACTTTGTATTTTTCTTTACTATGGTTTTTGACTTAATTTATGGTGAACATTTTCCCGTGATAGCTTTTAAGTTTTGTACCCTTCATTTGTTGACCTCATAGTATTTCATGGTCAGACTGTAGTGTCATTTGATTAACTCTTTATTCTGGGACATGTCCACGTAGATTATGAATTAGGTTCCTTAGCTTCATTAGTATTGTTACAAAAGCATCTGATTATCTTGTCAATCTCTGTCATTATACTGAGCATTCCATATTTTGTCTTTAAGAGTATTTCCCCAGTTACTAAAGTCCAATTAATATGTTGGTTAGATTTATTAAGGTATAAGTCAGTCTGAAGAGCATGGTTTTGAGTTAATTCTACTGGAAGTTATATAAAAATACAACATTGTATTTCTCACAGAAGACCCCATAAACTTTACAGATAAAATCTTAATTTGGACCATATTTTATGATCCCTTTCACATAATTGGATTAAGAAGTAAGACTATTCGTTGTGTTTCCTAGACACTTGACACTTAGGACTAGGGCAATTGTGCCTGTGTGTAACTTCAGTTAGCTTATGTCTAATTTCAACTTGCATACTTTTGAAATACTTAAAACAATTTTGCTACATGAAAAAAATTTTTGCTGATACTTCATATAAAGGCTTCTTATCCTCTAGTATTTCTTGGCAAATATTCTTTTTGTTTGTACTCCCATCAAGGAAAAATTACGAAGATTGGATCAGTGAATCAAAATTTGATTAACCAGTTAATTTGCCTTTGAAATTAAGTGTATCTACAATTTTCTAGATGACTGAAGAAATCAATGTTAGGCTGTAAAATTGTGAGGGCAGTTGTAAAAAAAAAAAAGATGTCTTTCAAAATGGCCCTTTTGAAAGGGATTACTAAATTTTATATGTATTACTGTATTTGGCTAAATGATTGGGATGTGTTGATTAACAAAACAAAAAACAAAAAAACTATTATTGGTTTAAGCCAGACTTCTTTTTTAGAAAATTGTACTTGGATATCAGTGTGGTTTTGATGTAGCCTAGTGAGTTCCTCTTTAGATGGGAACTTGAGACCTCTGCTTTTTAATGTTGCATGCCACTGGCTGGGTTGCCTGACTTGCTGTAGAAATGAACCCTGAGTATCCTAATTTAAGTGTCTGAAGTTGATGAAGTCTGCCTGGGGAAATCTGTATAGGCCGAAGTTGATGAACTCTGCTTGGTGCGAAGACTTTGTAAAGGCTTACACTAGGAATATGACTGTAACATTAATGAAACCATTTGGTAACTGGTTGCTTCTAAATTTTTTGTACTTTGTTGACGAAAAAAAAAAAGACTTACCCAGAATATAAAAATAGTATTTTGTATTTGTATTTTTCTATTGTTTTTGTTTTTAATTGGTTTTTGATTTAGAACATGTATTAAATTGGCTGGTTGAGCATTCACTTGCTGTATGTTTTAATGGATCCTTATCCTTTGCAAAAATTTAATTCTAGTGATTAATCTGTCACTTACCTCCTGTGACCTTGCCTATATAAATACAATTAACATCAACTTTATCTATGTAAGTAGTTGTTTGTTGAAGGACTTATGAAATAATAAAAGTGAGAGCATTTATGTTTATATGGTGGATATTGGTTCATTCTGCTTTCTCTACATGGAAAAGTGATTTTCATTTCCATGGTAGGCCTATTTTTAGGCCTGTTATCTTCATCTCCTTAAATTTTAGAAGTCTTCATAAATTTTCACTCATACCTCAAGCAAATACCCTACCTGCCATATGGTAATTATGGTTTTTTGTATGTGTGTGTATGGAATTCAAAAATTGTTAATGAATATTTAGGAAGGTACTTCAGTTTTTATATTCTTGAGATAAAATAGTGAAAAGAAAATGTAAGATCTGTCCTCATTTTGGTAACTTTTTGGTTGGCAAGGGAAATTGTTACAGTTTTTGCTTTTTAAGTAATAGTATCTTCTGAATGGAGAGTAGGAAAAGCAGTAACTGTTTGGAGTCCCAGGATAAGTGTCACTTTTTGTTTGGGACAATTTACTTTTGGTTGGTCAGGTGGGCAGAATATTTTTCTTCCTGATTTGGAGCACAAACTTGGAAGCATTTTCAGGGTACTATTATGTTAGAAGCATTGTACAGGTGAAAAATTACTGCATGGACAAAGTGACTGGCTGAGTTAAATACTATGGGAAAGTATATACTGCTAGTTTTATTCAATATCGTCCGCGCCCCACTGGTAATACTTGTATAACTTTGGTTTTACATTTGGTCTATTCTAAATTCATAATCTCAATGTGAATTCTTCATTTTTCCTGTTTTATTATGTGTGAAGTTTTTTTTTCTTTTTTTAGCTTCTGGAGTTATCCTTCAGAATAACTCCAGTTTTTCTGTGATCAATACTAAAGCATACTATAGTTTTTAGTAAGTATTATAGTAAAAGCCTTGATTTGTTAGATCCTCTTTTAATTTGAAATTTGAAACTTTGCACATGTATTGGGCTCAGCTTTGGTTGTCAACCTTTTGGGAATAGCAGGTTGTATAGAGAGTTGTAAAATGTTGATTTAGCTTATGTAAGGATACAATTTTGGATGCTTTAAAAAAAAAATGTCCTGTTAAGAGTGCCCATATGCATACCAAAATGAATATATTAAAAAAATGTGACCGATCATTATATTTGAGGCACTATTCTGGGTTTTTGAGGATAGAGCTGAGAACAAAAAAGTCCTGCCCACTTTTAAAACGTTTTAAGAGAGAAAGACATTAAAACATTTTAAGAGAACTTAAAAATATTTTAAGAGAGAAAGACATTAAACAAATTATGATAAGTTCGATGGTAAGAAATGCTTTGGAGATAAATTAGCAGAGTAAGGGGGATAATGAGGGTTTAGAGATAGAGGAATGCCCAAGGCTTTGTTATTTTGCATAAATATTGAGGGAAGTTTGTCTAATATGGTGACACTTGAGCAAATATCTATAGGAAGGAAGTGAAGGGAGCTTGTAGCATAGGTATCTAGGAGAAGAGAATTCTGGGCAGAAGCAACAGCAATACCAAACACCTGAGATAAGAGTACTTGGCATATGGGAGGCATTGCAAAGAAGATGACAGTGATGCAGTGGAGAGAAGAAAGATCACAATGGGAATATAATATAGATAAATGTGTGTATACATACACATATGTTTTATACCATATGTAGTACAGTGTGTGTGTGTGTGTGTGTGTATATATACACACACTGTGTGTATATATATACACACACACTGTATATATATATACACACACACACACATACACACACACCATGCACTACATAATATTAAATTGTGTGTGTGTATGTTTGTTTAAAATACTATTGCTGAAACTGAAATCTAGTATAATATGTTCAGTGCCATAGGCCAATTATAAAGTTCTGTGAAGATCTAGAGAAAGCAGATTAAATTCTGTTTTTTACTCTCAGAAACTGAAGCATGCATATCCAAGTTGGATTAACTGTTTGATTTTTGTTACAAATAGTCTGAATTGTGAAAGCTTTGTGTCATTCTGCTGTTCCATGGGTACTCTGACTGTTTTGTTCTTTGTTCTTTAAGCAGTATTGGCCAGGGTAGCTGCTTATCTAAAAACCATGTGTTTATCAGATGTTAACTTGTGTAATAATTGGACCTACTAAAGGAAACATTTTAAGTAAATGAATGTTTGTAGTTACATTGCCATTTCTTGCTCGCAATCAAGGCCAAGTTAGATCATTTGAATTCATATTTAATCATTATATGCTGAAGATTAAAAGTTAACAAATTACTAATGAATTATGAATAACTTTTTCCCCTTTTTTGAAGTTATAGCCGAGACATTTGTATGTTACATTTTATATGTATTTTAAAACAACTCATTTATTGATTTTCTCCATTATGTCTCTAAATTGGACCATAATATATTGTATTATATTTATTATATTTTTTTATTGAGGCAGAGTCTCACTCTGTCCTCCAGGCTGGAGTGCAGTGGCATGATGTCAGCTCACTACAACCTCTGCCTCCTGGGTTCAAGCAATTCTCTTGCCTCAGCCTCCTGAGTAGCTGAGATTACTGGTGCTCACCACCATGTCTAGCTAACCTTTTTGGTATTAGTAGAGATGCGATTTCACCATGTTGGCCAGGCTGGTCTCGAACTCCTGACTTCAGGTGATCTGCCCTCCTCGGCCTCCCAAAGTGGTGGGATTACAGGCAGGAGCCACTGCGCCTGGGCTATTTTATATTTTCTTCATCAAGTTTGCCAATAATACCTCATAAACAGATTGTAGGTGAAATTGAGTTTTATTAAGAATCTTTTTTTCAGTTTTGTTTTCAATATTAGCTAGTTATCAACTGATCTGAGCAAATTAAGTAGAACTAAAGGGAGAAAATTAAGACAAATATTTTATATGAACAGACTGAGATCCAGCTGAATTACAGACCAAATCTCTGCCCTGTTACCTTCCTGTTGCAAAGAGCATTCTAGGGTGGATGTTCATAAAGGTAGTCTGCATGTTGTTCACTCTTCTATATGGATGATTTCTTTAAGCTTTATTTAAAGAAAAATGTTAAATTTAATTTTAAAGGGATGAATAATACCAGTATTATAATGGAAGGTTTTTAAGTAGTAAGGAAACTGAAAGTTCCTTAAAACCTTGAAGCAGTTTATTTTGAGATGACTAAAGGACTTGAGAGTGAATTATACCCTGAGGGATTTGGTTTATTTTCTGGTATTGTTGATCATTTATATGGTTCTGATTAGTACCCTGCTTCTTAGGTAGATTATGGTAGTCTCAATTGCTCTTGAGAGATTTTTAACAACATCTCCAAACTATTACTACTCCATTTTGTGTTAAATCTTTTGCCGGTTAATATGCAAATCTGGTATTAACAATAAATTAAAACCACAGAGGAAATTAATTATTTAAAATTTTTTTATTGCAGACTTAATTCAGTGCACAAATGAGATGAATGTGAACATCCCACAGTTGGCAGACAGTTTATTTGAAAGAACTACTAACAGTAGTTGGGTGGTGGTCTTCAAATCTCTCATTACAACACATCATTTGATGGTGTATGGAAATGAGGTAAGCAGAATGTTTGATGAACAAGTAGACTGATGTGATGACTTATTATTTGCTAGCTTCTCTTACTGAAACTTCAGAAATAGCTTCCAGGTACAAAGGGCAAGGTGCCTAGCCAGAAATATAATTATAGACCCTGCAATTTGAGGTATAGAAAGCTAAAAGTTGGTCAGAGCACAGAGGACATCAATAATGGATTAAGAAGCAAAGATTAATTGCTAGAAATGGGTCCGTAAGCAACCCTGGTTTTTGCTGGTCTTGTTTATAGACTATATATTTGTCTATATCCGTTTGTTCTTTTATTATAGCCCAGTTAGATTCTTTCTTTCTTTTTTTTTTTTTTGAGTCAGAGTCTTGCTTTGTTGCCCAGGCTACCTTAAATTCCTGGTCTCAAGGGCCCTTCCCACCTCAGCCTCCCATGTAGCTGGGGATTACAGGTGTATGCCACCATGCCTGACTTACTTTTAAATTTTTTTGTAGAGATGGTGTCTTTCCGTCTTTGCTTAGGCTGGTCTTGAACTTTTGGGCTCAATTGATACTTGCTCCTTAGCCTCCCAAAGTGCTGGGATTACAGGTGTAAGCCATTGCATCCAGCGTCCAATTCTTTTATGATCTCATATAGCTGTAATTGGAAGCACTTTGCCTGCTTCAAAGCTGTGATATTTAGGACTAAGATGGCATTTGATGAGAGGGACTGACTGAAGAGTGGCTTCTTCAGCAGAGAGGTGTGTCTGAAGCCTTTGTTGCCTAAAAGGATAATAAATAAGATACATAAGCTTTTGCAGTTTTCTGTTTTGAGACAATCATCTTGTTTTCTATGATAGCCTAAGAGCTAATTTTTTGGTTCTTAACCTTGTGGTTTTCTCAGCTCAATAAACTTATTTGTAAAATTGTATTAACAGGAGCTTTTCAAGAACATTTGAGTGGAAGTAGATAAATCTTCATTGTTATGTGCCTTAGAAAAATGTAGCCCAGGAAAACAGCCCTCTTAGAGATGAGAAAGGACTTTGGTTCTTGATATTAGTTCTCTGAACATAGTGACTTTCTGCCATCCATGACGTCACATGTTATTTTAGGTTTTTCAGTTACAAAACTATTTTTTGACAGCTACCGGTACAGCATTATTAAAGTTCAAAATTAAAGCAGGAATTTACCCACAACTTTATTACTCCAACACATCTTACTATTTGCACATTTTAGTCTTCCCTCTGGTTCTTATCCAAAATTATTTGTATTTTTTAGATGGCTATAATCATACTTTAGATAAAATATTATTTTTAGCTTTTTCTATAATACACTATCAACATCACCATGTTGTATATTTTTTATATGTACCTTTAATAACTATGTGATTGATTATGTAGTTCACAATTTTTAAACTATTTTTCTTGCTGGAAATTTAGTTTTCTGATTCATTGTTATACCACCACATTGAGTGATTTTATTTGTAGTTTTTAATTTTTAAAAATGATTTCCCCCAAGTGTTACCTGAAATGTAATCACTAAGTCAACAGACACGACTATTTTTAGGACTTATGTTACTCATTTGCTTTCTAATTTATTTATACCAGTTTGTCTATACTAGCTTAAGTGTAACTTGAAACATCTTAACTAGGTTAATAGTTTCTACTTTTACTAGGAATATGTTTAGTTAAGATTATGATTATTCTGAAGAATTCCAAGCTTGTATGTACTTTTCTTCTTCTTTATTTGATGTAGTTTATTTAAAAAAAA